TTGCAGTCCAGTAGCCTGATTTCACTGTATACTTCATATCCTTAGTGTATGGCCAGATGAGCACATCCCTAGATGAGAACCTTGAAAGCTTTATTTGTAAAGCCAATGAAACATCCTCTGGAGTTAAGAATCTCTCGAGTTTATGAACATTCCAAGTACAGGTATCCATATCAATAAGATTTGAAACCATCATGTCTTGAGTATCAACAATCTGTTGCACCTGTCGAGGAGGGATTGTTGGCAACCAGTGATCCAAATACACATTAGTCTCATTACCGTAACCTATCCTTTTCTGTAACCCTCGTTGAAGTAGTTCCTTGCCTACTTGAATAGACTTATAGCCATAAGAGGCATGCTTAGGATTCAACGACTGTAAAAATGTCGTTGAATGATGATATCTACCTTTGTAGATTTTACTAAGTAAGGAAGCAGGATTTTGCCATATTATGTTTGCTTGCTTAGCCAACAGAGCTTTGTTAAAACAACTGAGGTCTCAAAAACCCATACCCCCTTCCTTCTTTGGTAAACACAACCGTTTCCATGATATCCAAGATATCTTTCTCCTCTGATCACTTTTTCCCCACCAAAACTCAGAAAGAATAGAATGTATTTCCTCACAAATAGTCTTAGGAAGAAGGAAGCAGCTCATCGAATATACTGGCTTAGCCTGAAGGACTGATTTGATCAAGAATTCTTTTCCAGCTTGTGATAATTGTTGATTATGCCATTGAGATGTTACCGTCTTAATATGATCCACCATCCCTTCAAACTCATGAACTTTACCTCTATGAAACTGCTCCGGGAGGCCTAAATATTTTCCACCTCCACCAATAGTATGGATACGAAGATGATGTTGAATTTGTACTCGCATTTGATGATCCACTCGGTTACCAAAGATGATCGATGATTTTTGTAGATTAACCTTCTGACCTGAGGTCTTTTCATACAACTCAAGGAGATTAGCCATACACACTGCATTTTCTTCATCAGCCCGACAAAAAAATAGAGACTCATCAGCAAACAAAAGATGCATGACCCTTGGACAGTTCCGTGCCAATTTCATTCCTTGAAACTTATTTAAGGCATGTGCTTGATCAATCATTAAACTCAGGGCTTCAGCACATAATAGAAAAAGATAAGGAGATAACGTATCACCTTGTCTAATCCCCCTTGTTGGTTTGAAATCACCAAACGGTGAGCCATTTATCAACACAGAGTATGAGACTGAGGTGGCGCATTCCATAATCCAAGAGATACATAAGGGGTGAAAGCCAAGTTGGGTAAGCATAGTCTCCAAAACTTCCACTCAACTTTATCGTACGCTTTACTAATATCAGTCTTAATAGCCATATATTGCTCAGAGAAATCCTTCTTTGATTTCAAGGCCGTGATTAGTTCATGAGCTACCAGTATGTTGTCCGAAATCTGTCTACCAGGTACAAAAGCAGCTTGAGACTCGGATATCACCACTTCCAAACAGCTCTGTAACCGTATTCCTAACACTTTGGAGATCAATTTATAAGCTATTGTACATAGGCTTATTGGTCTAAAATCTCCCATGGAAATCGCCTCAGGAAACTTGGACAATAAGAAGATGTTTGTGTGATTAACACCTTTTCCCATACGACAATTTTCAAAGAAGTTGCGAACCATACGACATACATCTGGCCCTATATGTTCTCAAAATTGTTGGTAAAAGGCAGTTGTGAAACCATCTGGACCTGGGGCTCTGTCGGAACCAATACATTGTAATGCCATCTTGATTTCAATGTTTGTAACCGGAGCTATCAATTTATCATTCATCTCAGTAGAAATCTTTGGTTGGATATGGGATAGACAATCATGTAGAGGTATAGTATTTGTAGAGGCGAACATATCATGAAAGTATTCCTCAGCCATTTTAGCTATAGTTTCTTCTTGTGTATGAGTGACGCCATGCTTATCTTGTAGCTTGGTAATCCTATTCTTTTTCTTCTTCATCTTTGTAATCCCATGATAGAATGGAGTATTGCGATCACCCATATGTAACCACCGATTTCTACTTTTCAACTTCCAATACTCCTCTTCATCCCTATATGCTTTGTTTAGATTTCTGCGTAGCTCATGGATATACTCAGATGTCACTGTACTGTCCCTTATATCCACGTCCAATAACGCTCTTATTTCAGTAATCTTGACCGCTGAATTAGTGTGGTTTCTTCGCTTCCAACCTATGATCTCAGTTCTACAATGTCCAAGCTTCTTATTCCAACCATGTATGAACTCAGTATGGTCCCAAGCATCAACCACAGTGTCCACAAAACTCTGATCGTCGAACAACCTTTTATCATAACAAAATACCCCTTTCTTCCTTTGGTGTTTATACTCAATATTAATGATCATTGGTCTATGGTCTGATTCAGCAATCTCCAAGTATTCTGTGTATGAATGGGGATAATAATTTAACCAAGCAGGATTAATCATTACTCTGTCTAAAAAACACTCAATTACTTCAGTTCTCCTTCGTCCAACCCAACTGAACTGGTTTCCATGATGTTGTAAATCTTTCATATCACATACTTGGATCATGGTATTAAAGTTTTGAAGGCTTGTGAGTGTCCTCATTCTTCCTCCTTTCTTTTCTTCTGGTTTTGTCAATTCATTACAGTCACCACATATCATCCAAGGCCCTGAACGTGTAGTAGCAATTCGTTGGAGTCTTTCCCATAGCACATTTCTATGCTTTGGAACCGGGTGGCCATACACACAAGACAAGTAGAAATTGAAACATTGATATTCAACATGGATATCTACAAGTCTTTCATCACTGGAAATACAGATTACAGACACAAAGGACTTCCAAAACACAGCTAAGCCACCACTATATCCCACCGGTGGAACCAAAACCATCTGATCATAATCAAGATACACACCTATATCTCTAACATAATTACTATCTTGCTTAGTCTCAATCAAGAACAACAAGTCAGGACGATACAACCTTTGCATCTCCTTTAGACGTCGAACTGTCAGGCGTTTTCCCAAGCCTCGACAGTTCCACACCTCCACTCTCATGGCACTGGTGGTGGTATTGGGCCCACCGCGCCTCTGCCTTGTTGTTTACCATCATCCATCAATTCATCATCCATCTCGTAGTCTTCCTTGATCTTGTAGAGTGCAGCATACTCATCACTTATGCTGTTTAAGTTGGTAAGGAACTTATCCTCCACACCAACTTCAAACGGTGACCTTCGCATCTCATTTCTGACCTCCACCAACTCTGTCGGAGAATGAATCAACCCATTCTCCACTTCCTTCAAACTGCTTCCAGCGGAAGCAAAATAGTCATGAACTGAGCCAGCCCCACGTCGCTCTTCTATCTCCAGGATTATATGATCACTCTCATCATCATCTACAACATCCATGAAATATGTTGGGTCACCATTTTCCACAAGAGAAAGATTCTGAGATAGCAGGTCCTCTACAAATGAGTACTTTCTAGCAGTCCGGACCAGCCCCATACGCCTTTCATACTCCGCATGAACCTCTTGGAAAGGGGCTTTCCTCCAGAAATCCACAGGTAGACAATCACCCATATCAATCATCTTCGAGTTAGTTCCTTGACGATCCAGAACCTCATCTCTTTTTCTCTTTGTACCCGCTTGGCTTCCTTCCATGTCTGAATGTGGAACAGAGACTTCCATGTTAGATGCAGAAGTTCCCTCCCTTGTGAGCAACTTCACCAGACAGTGTCAACAGAACACGGTCTCCATCATCATCGTTCCCATCAGAATGATCGCTATCATCATTATCAGAGGGTTCTGGTGGTTGATCGTCAGGCTTATACCCCAGCGGACACTCTTGTTTTTCATGAGTTAGCAAACCACACGTTTGACAGAAATTACGTAGCCTTTCATACTCAAAAGAGAGAAGAGTATTAACCTCTGCAGAGAACTGGAAATTCCTTTGGAAGCGTAGGGGTTTGTCAACTTTCCATAACAGTTGAACCCTCACAAACTCAACTCTTGTCGAGTTTTCATCAAAATCAACATCAAACACTGGCGCTAAGATTCCACCAATGAACTCAATCATTGATCTTGTGAGATACTGAAGAGGAATTCCCCTAATCTGAACCCAGAAGGGAATGACTTGTAATTCATCTTCCCTAATGTTAGGATACCAACGGTGAACGGAGAGCATCCATTCAGCAAACGACCACGGAGCACGTCATGTAACCATTAACAGAGCCTCCTCAGAATGAAAAATGGATTGAAGACGGTTAGTGTCGATGATACGCCCAACTGCTTCGACCCCCACAAAGCCGTGGTAATTGATTAATCATGACACGGAGATTCTGCTTCCGAGGATTCACCGGGACTACCACCAGAGAAAACTGATTCGTTGCAGCGGCTTGAAGACAGATGGAGGGTGGAAGTGCGACTGGTTCGTCCTCCACACCGAGAGTAATTCGCTGCATCTTCTTACGGAGTTTATCGCCCATACTTGTGATTTGGAATTTGGAATAGTACCCAAAACCAACAACAATAATTGCTATATAAAGGTGAGGCCATGGCGGTTTTGTCAAAGAGAAACCGTAAATTAAAGGAATCCACAGACTTAAACAACCAGAGATCATGCACAATGGAGAGAAACCGACTCAAATTACCCGAGAAAAGGGGAAAAAGATCGGACAGTTGATCGGAAAAGACAGAGGACGGTTAAGGAAAATCGCCTAAAAAATCGCACAAAAAGTCACCATCCACGAATTTGGTTTTTTTAATCCGCTTTCTACGTATAATCTTTATATATACAAAAATTCAAATATATAATCATTTTATATGAAATATATGGTATTATATATATAATGTATGCTTGACATACAATTCCATAACTAGGTATATACATTTAATGAGTTTCCTTCTCTCTATGAATGTAGCATAAAAATAAATAAATAAGGGTCAACTTGTTCTTTTCATCAAATGGCAATTGTTTGATTTCCAAACATATATTTGGCTTTGGGACAGCAAAGAGGCTTTATAAAACATGTCACCTCTCTAATGTAATACCATAAACATATAAACATACATATACATCTCTCGCTCTTTCTTTCTCAAATTATTTCTGGTTGGAACTGAAAGAAGTAAAGATCGATCGATGTTAGCTTCCTCGCAGGCAAGAGATGATTGCTTCGATGGAGAGTCAAGAGTTCCTTGGGACATCGTGTGGATTCACCATCAATCCGGAAGAGGACTTTCCAGAGTTCGGCGATCTTCTTGACATCATTGACTTCGACGATCTGCTTGGCGTTGCCGGAGATGTGCTTCCTGACTTGGAGATGGACCCTGAGATCTTAGCAAGAGACTTCTCCGATCACATGAAAGCCTCGTCGGCTATTACGTCGGAGAAGACTGATAGTCAAGGGGAGACTAAGAACAAGGGTATCTCGGGTAGAGGCAAAGAAGTCGTCAGCAAAAGAGACCATAACGAGACTCCTGTGGTGGAGACGGTAGTGAACTATAACGGTGATAGTGACTGTAAAAGGAAACACTCCTCATCTGGTTCTACCAAGAACAAGAACAACGAAGGGAAGCGAAAGGTGAAGGTACTAACATTTATTAATAATTGTTGAATATATAAACCCCACCTCACACCATTGATTCGTATTTGCATTTTAAACGTGGAATATTCATTGATATTTATGACATCATCTCAAGTCTTATGCAGTTTGTTATGTACAGTTAGTTTCGAAAAACTATGCTAGGAAGAACATACTGAAAAAAATAATCATGTTCACTATAACGCTAGTTACAATTCAAAATCATATACAGTTTGTTAAATTTAATAGTAGTATTATTTAGACTTTAATAATTAAAAAAATCAAGAATATTGGTTATATATTGATCGCTGGGATGTGTGTGTGAAGAAGGTGGATTGGACACCAGAGCTACACAGGAGATTCGTGGAGGCAGTGGATCAGTTGGGACTGGAGAAAGCTGTTCCTTCTCGTATTCTGGAGCTTATGGGTGTCCACTGCCTCACTCGTCACAACGTTGCTAGCCACCTCCAAGTATTATATTTAGTTATTTATACATACATTTTCATCTTCTCTTGATTATTCTGTATCATAACCGACCAGATTAATTATCGTGTTATTTGTGTTTCTGTATACCAGAAATATAGGTCTCATCAGAAACATTTGCTAGCTCGTGAGGCCGAAGCAGTTAATTGGACACGCAAACGCCCCATCTACGGTTTAGACAGTACCGGAGCTAATATCAATGGGCGGAATAAAAACGGATGGCTCGCGCCGACACCCACTATTGGGTTTCCGCCTCCGCCACCTACAGCTGTGGCATCACCACCTGTTCACCACCATCATTTTAGACCGTTGCATGTGTGGGGACATCCAACAGTTAACCAGTCTGTCATTCCGCACGTGTTTCCCAAACACTTGCCTCCACCGTTTTGGGTATCCGATACTCCCTACTGGCCTAGAGTGAGTATTCATTTACCTTTATTTCTTGTAAAAAATTCCATTTACACATAAATTTTTGTCTACATATATGTTCTATGTTATTTTAATACTCAACGATAGACTTCAATGATTTTAGTCAGAATTAAAGTAATTTAGTCCAACAACTCCTTCCAAAAACTTTAGAAATAAACAGGTCAACTACTGATACCGAGTATATTTTCTGTCGCATGTAGATTCATAACGGGACGGCTCCGTATTTGCCGACCTTAGCTACGGTAATCAACCAACATATCAAATATTATTTTCGTCGATATACCTTTAGGCCTATATATATGTTTTAAATCGTATTTCTTATTGCTGATTATGTAGGGGTTTAGAGCACTGCCGGTTGCCGGAATCCCACAGGCTATGCCGCCACATCATACGGTGTACAAACCAGATCATGGCTACGGTGGTTCTCGTTCTCTGGTGGACTTACATCCGGTAATTAAGAACCTAATTTTATATATATGTATGTATAATGGGTATTGGTTGTTGTCGATACTGGCTTTTTGTATTTACTAATTTTGTTATCATGTTTATGTTTACATATATAGTCAAAAGAGAGCGTCGATGCAGCCATAGGAGATGTATTGACGAGGCCATGGCTGCCACTTCCGTTGGGATTGAAGCCACCCGCTGTTGACGGCGTTATGACGGAGCTTCACCGTCACGGTGTCTCCGAGGTTCCTCCAACCGCGCCTTGTGCCTGAAACGGACAAGCGACCGAGGCAGACGAACCAACAAAAATTCGACGACATGTCTTTCAATTCTGGTATCCTTTTTTCCAAGGGTTGTTTTAGTTATGGCCCTTGTTGAGTGCTCGGAGTAAAGAGCCTGTTTACTTGATTGTCTCGAATAACTAATAAGGAGGCTTTTTCATATATAGGGTGCTAAGTACACTCTAACGCAAATAAATGACACATATATCCTCTGGTGATTTCATTTTGAACTTGATTTTGTAAATAGTTTTGAAGTAAAACAATCCAAATTAATCTTCATGTCCTGGTCTTTAACTACAAAGCCAATTAATCTTCCTATATTAGACACTCAACACAGCTTTATTGAAAAATAAATTTTGCGTTTTTGTGATTGACCATATAAAACAATAATATATATATGTTTGGATAGAGTTCAGCTTGACAAAAATGACATACCTAATAATGAGGAGAGAGGGAAAGAGATGATCACGAGATAAGGAGAAGGGAGTACATGGAGGCAACGTAAAATCCAACGTAGGTAACCTCTTCTTTCTTCAATTGTGACCACTCTCTCTCGTCTCCTTCAAATTTGAATGGTCCCTTTCTCTCTTCATCATTCATATGCATGCGGATACTATTACAAGCATCTCATTTACACTCTCACACATGTAAAAAACATATATGTAAGCATATCTATATTTTTCTTTCAACAAAGATGTCTCCACATGTTTATGTAGTATATATATATATAGAGTTGTTTTCATTCAGAGTCACTTTATGATTTTTATTACACCATAAGAACAGGTTCATCGCAGGTGGGGGGAAGGTGCTTAGGGGAAAAATGTGGGGAGGGGGGAGACCCATAAAGAAACAAAAGTAGACGTCTTTGATGCCCAAATAAGCGTCGATTTTTTCTGGGTGCTTGAGCTGTTCCGCGGCCCCACGATACGTGGCGACCCGCGATTATTGTATTTCAATTTTTTTTTTAATCAGAAAAGCAAAAAATAAAAATAAATAAAAATTTTAAGCACCCCCTTTTTCGTTGCCGCGATAAACCTGCTCTAAGTTATTTATTGTTCCTAAAACAGTTTTTAGTAATTTTTACTTTTTCCCCTATCTAAATGTAACTACAAAAAGATTTTAGTTTACTTCACTTTTGTTTTTTTTTTCACTTGTTTTAATTATTTTCTTCAAAATACTATTTGACTTTGTTTCTTTTTATTTTTCATTCACCGTAAGTTTCTTCTTTCACAAAGACCATAGCTGTGATTCAACCCTCTTCTTCTCCACTTTAATCTACAAGCACCGCTGCAAAAAAAAAAAATCAGAAATCGACCGGGTAACGTCTTTGTTTCTACGGCGAGTTTTCAATCCGTCAAGTCTTGTTTTCCTCCCCGTCTCCAAATCGATCGATGGCTCGTAAAATTCTATTGTGCCTTCCTCTGTGACCTCTCCTCTCCAACCGTGGGTGAAACAAACCGAGGGTCGATCTGACGAACCTCGAAGGGATCCATTCCCAAACCAAGTTTCATATATTTGCATGACTGGTCCTTTTGCTTTCAATTTTTTTACGATATGATTCTAAAAATTACAGATTTGCATATTTATTTTCGATTTTTGTTCCACACTTGTAATTGTGCAATACCACCTCTACTTTATGAAGATTAGTATGAAAATGCAATATAATCTAAAATGAAAAGCCAAAACCATAAATACATTATTATTGTTTGAATATGAGCCATATGTACAATGACTCCATGTTCATATGTACATGAATCTGTGTACACAAAATTTATAGTATCCACATGTACAAAAATACACATGTATGTTTGTGCAAGAATTCACATGTACACCTATACAAAAATTCACATGAGATAAATTTGTTAGATATATTATCAATTTACGATGCAATTTACAATGTCTCTTGAAACTTGGTCAATGCTGCGATGTCCAATATATATATATAGTTTTTTTTTAATGACATTTTGCATATCACTATCATAATTTTAGTGTACAATAAAATTTAGTGACCTACATGTGTACAACAAAATATGGTAACCTACATGTGTACGACAACATATAAAACAAACTTTTTAAGCTTATTTATTACTTTGTAAAGAACTTTGATCATTTTTTAATGGGTTTTCTCGGCTAGCCACTTCCTGGACATAGTTAAGAAACACATTCTAATTACGTGTACACATCTATAATGGGTTTGATGTACACATTGATCAATAAAATTACATGTACACATGTACAATACGGTCCATGATCCATAGTCATGTGTACAATATCCTCATGTACATTGTAAATTTGTATAAATGAGTAGTATACGTAGGTCTCATTATCCATGTGTACACTATCCTAATGTACATTGATATATATAAATGAGTAGTGTACATAAATTTTGTTATTCATGTGTACACAATCCTGATGTACATTGGAGATTATATAAAATGAAAGCAATTATGTATCTTATGTTTCATAAATTTGTATAAATGAGTAGTATACATAGGTCTCGTTATTCATGTGTACACTAATCCAATGTACATTGGTTAAATGAGTAGTGTAGTTTTGTTATCTAGGTGTACAATATCCTAATGTACATTGGAGATTATATAAAATGAAAAGCATGTATACATCTCCATTTCATATCTTATGTTTCTTAAATTTGTATAAATGAGTTGTATACATAGATCTCGTTATAAAATGAAAACTGTTATATATTTTTTCTAAATTTGTATAAATGAATAGTATACATATGTCTCGCTATCCATGTGTACACTAATTCAATGTACATGTATGTGTTAAATAAGTAATGTACACAGTTTTGGTTATCCAGGTGTACAATATTCTAATATACATTGGAGATTATATAAAATAAAAAGCAAGTATATATCTCTAGTTTCATAATCAAGTTTCAAATAAAACCAAACACAATGACACTTATGATACAATTCTGAATATGCACAATGTACATCTGCCACACGATAGCCATATGGAAATACATTTATCATATATATGTTTGCATCTCCAACAAAAATCATCTAAAATGTAGTAAAACAGTGTATGCACTTTGAAAATATGTAAACATATCCACATGTACACCGGAGTTCGATATTTACATGTACACAAAATGCATCATCGTGCATTCCTTAAATTAAACTCTTTCTCAGTCTCATTTACATATACATGTGTAAAAAAATTGAAATCTCTGAAGCAGTTCATCTTAGAACACATATAGGAAAGAAAAACAGAAACCTACAATCTATACATTACATCAGAATTTCGATCCACATGTACAAAAAAATTATATATCCAAATGTACAGAACATCTAAATATACATGATAATCATCAACTGCATCCAACTCTTCCTTAGTATTCTTGCAAACTCTCTGGTATTAGAAGGCCAATAACTCAAAAAATCATTAAACATGTTGCAGCCTATACAATGAAGAATTCGTTGATGACATTGTTTTGTAATTCAAGCAAATGCAAGCCGGAGCAAACGGGAACATACATTATTTCCCTGTCAATCGCAAAATTCCAACGGAGTCAGCGAAAATCCATTCCCCGCTGATTATCATACAGTGATCGGTCATGGAAAACTTACATAGGATGGCATGAAAGATTAAGTTATGAAGAAAACTAATTGATAATAGTAATAATTAACTTGATTTAGGCGGAATTAATCGAGAAAGCTAATGATCGATGGTTAGGATTTTTGGATTTATCATGACAAAAAAATTGGACAAAAAGTAATCGATGAAGATGGTGATGGATTTAAAAAATAGGATGAATATGGGCCATTCATATTAAATCTACAACAATAGATCTAATGGTCATAAAAATGAGACATATATGTCTTGTCAAAGTGTACTAAACTTAATCTTGTCCATCCGATAGGAAAGAAGATGTGTGGCTGAAGTTAATTCCCGTTTATTCTCTAGTTAGGTCAATAAGCTTTAATGTGATAGTTAGTATATTTAGTTAGAATTTAGTAGATTGTTGGAAGAAAGTGTGTGTGTAGCAATAAGTGATCTATTATGATATTAAAATATGGAAAATGACCCTAAGTGTAATTGTTTCATTTATATCTAAGATGCACGGTAGTGTTTATATATAGTATTTTTGTTTCTTACCAATGAAAATATGTTATTTTTGATTTTAAAAAATACTTTTGTGGTGCTTGTATCTTACAATAGTCTAATATAAACCTTGAGGATAAAATACTGATCTCCGTTCAAAACCAAAGAAACATTCATTACATATGATTTTTTTCTTTTGAAGAAAAGCATATTTTCGCTGAAGTACAATTATAATAGAATTTTGGTGTAATGAATTTTTCTTTACAAAAAATAAAGTATTTACCTTCTTTTCCCATGAATGCTTCTGTTGTCTTTTCATTGTATCTGCAGTGATATACTTGCATCAACTATTTTTTTCTAAGAAATCTACAAATTTTGGTTACAGTATATAATAAAATAAAAGAAAAGGGTATATATCATCGAAAGTAAACAAAATAAACACATAAATAGATAATAGGAAGACCAACTTGATCAGGTGATGTTTTTATCTATACAGTAGATGAGTCTTTTTTGGTTTCCCTATCACATGAGTTCTCAATCCCATTTGTTGCCTTCTAATTGTTATCACAATTCTTTTTCTTCTTCTGTCATGTCTCAAAGATTTTAAAGGCATGTACTTGTGCTTTATGGTAAATCTCTCTTACTCTTCTTCCCTGAATTATCTATCACCACCATACAAACTAAGACTAGTTACAATGGTTTGATGTAAACCATTTTACAACAGTTGAAAAAATTAATCATACTACAATGGTGTGTTGTAATAAAAAGGGAAGTGATGTGGCGTGAGGTGGCAAAATTTGTGTTGAAAACTTTCAACACCCGTGAAAGTAGAAGGAAGAAGATAAGTGTGACAAGTGTTACATTATAATTGGTTGCTTTGATTTTCATGTTTTTTTTTCATCTCAATTATATAACTTCAATTATTTCATAATATTTATAAATAAATATATCAAAATTTATATCAAAATTTATAATTTTTCATTCTCTATAAATAGAAACTACCTTCATTTGATTTGGACACAGAAAAAAAAACCATCTTTAAACAGAAAAAAATGGTTTAGTCTCCAATAAACTTTTGTTTTAGCTTTAAATATCCGTTTAGCTAAATGGATCCAAACAATAACCCTTTCAACATCCAAAACTCTTCTAATTATCCTTTTAACTACCCAAATCCTAACAACTACCAGTTTCAAAATCAATCTCCCAACCTACCCCAGCATATACCAAATTATGGTTATCAACCAAATTTCTTCATGCCGTCAGCCGTTCCAAATTATCGTCCATATCATGGATCGATGATGTCTTATCCATCTCAAGCATCCCTGTATTCTTCTGCTCCAACGGATAATGTATCTGATTTGAATGTTGGAGCAACTGATTTTCCCGAGTTTTCTACACAAATGGGTCTTGGGGGTACCAGCGGAATTCATGAAGCTGTTCCAGATGCAGAAGATTCAACTCCTGCTCGTCGGAGAAGTCCCAAATGGACCACTGAGCAAAATTTGGTTCTACTGAGTGGGTGGATTAAATTTGGAACAGACAGCATTATTGGCAAAAACCAAAAAGGTGAGTCATACTGGGGTAAAATTGCTGAATACTGTAATGAGCATTGCTCATTTAATCCTCCGCGTGATGGAGAAGCATGCAGAAATCACTATAATTATGTTAACAAAAGCGTCAACAAATGGGTTGGCGCTTATGATAACGCTAAACGTATGCAACAAAGCGGGTGGTCGGAGGATGATGTATTGGAAAAAGCGCATGAATTATATTCAAAGGCTGATAAAGGAAGTTTCAAATACATAAAAGAATGGCTCGCTATACGTGATCAACCACGTTATGGTAGTCAGGTATGAGGAAATACTGGCTCTGGAAGCAGTGGATCTAAAAGGTCCCGCGAGAATGATGCTAGTGACTCAAACTCTGTAGGATCTAGTGCTCGTCCAATGGGGAGAGATGCTGCTAAGAAAAAGGCTAAAAAGAAAGGTAAAGGCGCATCCTTGGAAGTGGTCAACGAAGAGTGGAATGAATTTAAAGAATTCAAGGCACAGGAGTTGGATCGGTTGGACAAAATAGTTATGATGCAAAATGAAGCAAACCAATTGATTAAGGAAAAGACTCAGGTTAAAAAGATGAAGATGTTTATCAAGCTAAATGAAAAGGAGAATCTCGATGACAAGAGCAAAGAATTGTTGCAGAAATTGAGCCATGATCTATTTGGAAATTAATTATTGACAAGTGGTTATCTGTATTTTGTTACTTCATGCTTTAATAATGTGTGTTTTTCACTTTCTATTTTAATAATTTGTATTGTCACGTTATGCTTTAATAATGTGTGTTTGTCACATTCTACTTTAATAATTTGTATTTTCATATTATGCTTTAATAATGTTATCTTTGATTTTTGGCTTTCAAAAAGAGAATCTTATCTTATCCGTGACTTTTGGTTTGAACCACTCAATTCGAATCCAAGGCTACAACCACTCAATTCATTTGTTCTATTTTTTTTTATAAATTGGAACTCATTCTTCCATTAATGTACCAATACCATAAATCTCACCTTGCTAAAAAAATTTCAATGGATCCATCAGAATTTCTTTTTGATGTCGAAGCTTACAAGAAGCAGTCTGAAATTGAAGAGAGGTATATCATCAACCGGTTTAGGGAGCGTCGAAACAAGATAGAAGAAGACTATGCAGCTCGTAGCAAGAGAAAATACTTCAAAAGAGACCATGCAGCAGCAAATCAAAGACTAATTGACGACTACTTTGCCATTCAACCTACATATGACGATGCAATGTTTCGTCGGCGATTCCGGATGCGAAAACATATTTTCCTTCGGATCGTTGGAGACCTATCAAGCAGCGACAACTACTTTACCCAACGATTTGACGCAGCCAAACAAGAAGGTATATCTCCATTAGCAAAATGTACTACGGCCATGCGAATGTTAGCTTATGGTGTGGCAGCTGACGCGGTGGATGAATACATCAAAATTGGAGGTACTACTGCTTTAGAGTGCTTGCGAAGATTCTGTAACGGGATCATACGCCTGTATGAGCAAGAGTATCTCAGAACCCCAACTCAAGATGATCTCCAGCGGATTTTACGTGTTAGTGAGATGCGAGGGTTTCCGGGGATGATTGGGAGTATTGATTGCATGCATTGGGAATGGAAAAATTGTCCTACAGCGTGGGAAGGTCAATTTACTCGGGGAGATAAAGAAACCACCACTGTTATTCTTGAAGCAGTTGCATCTCATGATCTATGGATCTGGCATGCTTTTTTTGGATGTCCGGGCACGTTGAACGATATAAACGTTCTATACCGTTCACCGGTGTTCGCCTGTGGGACATAGCCGATTTGGCTATCATCATGAGGTCGTGTATCATATTGCATAATATGATTGTTGAGGATGAACGAGAGACATATGCTCAACATTGGAATGATTATGATCAATCTGAGGCAAGTGGATCGAGTACACAGCAACCATTCTCGACCGAAGTGCTACCCGTATTTGCAAATCATGTGCGTGCTAGATCCGAGTTGCGTGATTCAAATGTACATCACGAATTGCAAGCAGATCTAGTCAAACACATATGGGCACAATTCGGAATGTTCCATGGTGAATAAAATTTTTAAGTTTGTGAATTGAGATTATTGTACTAATTAAGTTATGAGTGTTTCCTTACTTGTTGTGTGCTTATTGTATTGCATTTTGAATTTATGTTCATTGTATGTGTTTTAGTAATTACTATTTCTATTTCTCATTTTTATTATTTGTATAAAAATTTAAAATAATATGTAAAATTAAAAAAATATTAAAACTAAATTTATTTTATAAAATTATTTATTTTAATTTTTAAAATTTAATTTGATGTTAACGGTGATTAATAATATGTAATCACAAAAAAAACATAGACATAAACAAAATGAAAAATATGAAATAAAAAATAGTAGAGTAATGTGTTGTAATTTAATTAAACAAAACTATTGTAGATGATAAAAGTTGTATAGGTGTTGAATAATGATGTGGAAGAAAGAGAAGATGATGTGGAGTGTTAAAAGGAAAAAAGTGGGTGTTGTAAATAAGTAACCATTGTAGATAGTCTAAGCATTCCCAGCAAAATCGATAACTGATTTAAAACATTTTGAAAATGTTATTGACTTGTTATGTTTTCACGCAATTGGCTTTTGCGTATATTTATTAAAGCACAATGAAAAATAAAAACAATAAGTAGATTGGAACAAAATACAATTTTATGAAAAGGAAATTCGACATGATGTAAGCTAAGATTTGAGCATTAAAGCGTTTGAGTCTTTATAGAGCCACTAACCTGGACTTTACATTCTCCAGCCTACTTTGGAGTACGCTGGCTCTACCGACCACAACAACTTGTGTTTTTTTCACATTTTGTAGAGAATGTGAAGCTGTTACAAAGAATTTAGGAGTCAATTTTTTTTGAAAGCAAGTAGAAAATTAATCTACGTATAGGAATTTTGGATTTATGTGAGAAAGATGAACTGTTATAAATCGTGAGTTCATGGGTGTGATGTGAGGGATTTTAGCGATGTTTTAATTTACATAGTGGTTTAAAAAATACAGTTAAGAGACTAAATGTTTTTACCTTTAAATTCTTTTTTTTTCATTTATGCCTTTAAAAATTGTAAAACTTATCTTATGTGTCAGAATTTTATTGGTTAGATGACTTGGACTTTAATATATAAGAGATTCTGTTACATATATATGTATGTATATGTCTAATCTATTAAAACAAAAGTACAATTAAAACTTAACCCTAATTTTCCTAAATATTTACCGTGGATTGCCACTGACATTAAAACAAATCCTAAGGCCTAATAATAATCAAATGGGTTATACACATTCCGTTAAATATAACATGCCTTATTTGTTGGTACCTCATTAAACATTTTAATAACACATTACCATATTATCAAGCATATTGGTTTCGTCTTCTACCTATATATTGCAATTCTCGATATTCTTTATATCCAAATTGTTCAACAAAATATTCTTAATAGTATTATAGTCTATTCCTTAATATTTATTACTAATAAATAAAAAATTTACAAACCCATGTAAATAATCAATTATAAAAATATATTAAATAAAATAGTATTTAAATATGTTATTTCATGTATATTTTATATAACTAAATCTATATGTCAATGCGATAGTAAGATAAATAAATAAAATTATTAATCTAATTGACAGTTAGATAAACAAATAAAATTTACTCATATAAAGAAAAACTTTGGTGTATAAATCAACCCATTCGGGTTTGATGCGGGTCTATTTAGGTTTTGGGTTTTCGGGATCAAAGATTTCAATCCCGTTCAGATATTTATGAATTTTGGTTGGGGTTTGGTTCGGATTTTGCGGGTTCGGGTTGTGCACGGATAACCCATTTAAATTATTTTAAAATTTGTAAAATTTATTATACACTTTAAATTTCTCAAAATATATAAGCAAATAATATATTTCATATAAATTTGAATAACATATGTTAAAATATCTAAAATTAATACAGATAAATGCAAAAAAAATATACTCTACCAAAAACTATAGAAAAACATTGATATATTTATATATATATATATATATATATATATATATATATATATATATATATATATATATATATATATATATATATATATATATATATATATATATATAAATGTAAGAATAACACCCGCACGGGCGTGCGGGTCAAACTCTAGTTAATATTAATATTAGAATATCAATATATATAGTACATAAACAATTGGAGAAAGAAGGGGTTAGATCATGTCAATCTCATTGCCATCAATCATGTTTAGCCCCTAATAAGATCCGGTTTACTATTAAGTTATTAACCTAAACTGTACCAACGAACTATTAAGTTATTAACCTAAACTGTACCAACGAAACAAAAAAAAAACACAATGGCAAGAGATCAAACTCTTATGCTTGCTAGTGGTTTTGCATACACAAGTTCCTAAAGCAGATTCAAGTGAGGATTAAGGCGCGAGTGTTAATTTTTCTTACTAAGAGATTCAAAGAGAATTCATCCGTGTAAGCTAAACCAAACGAGTCAACCAAAAAACACTCTTTAAATTCCTCAGTACCTAGTACCTATAAACACTTTGGTCTCAATCCTCCCTTGCGAATCATACAATCACGATTTGATCTCTCACACTCCATGTTTTTTTGTGTCGTTTCATGGGTATACAGTTTGGGTTAAAAGTAAACTAGATTTTATTAGGGTTAAACTTGAGTTTTATAAACATTATACTTTGATTATTAAACACAATTATTAGGAATTAACTAGACTCGTGGAATTGAATAGAGGCTAAGGTGTACATTCGATATGGGGTGAACAAGGGGGTTTAGTATGAGTTTAGATAGCTGGGGGGGGGGGGGGTTTAAACAAGTCAACTCTATAAATAAAATAGAGTAGAGACTCAGAAATATAAAAATGGGCCAAAATGAATCTAGGCTTTAATCGAAGCCCATAAACGTAACTAGGCCTTTAATTCAACAATGGAGACGCACGTCTAGAGTTTACCCAAAGGGTTTATCATTTCCGATCGTAATCGGAATCCCATAGCTTAACCGTCACCAATCTCTCTTTTAGCTTCTCTCCGGATGGCCACCTCCGCCGTCGTCTCCGGTGCCAGATCTATGCTTCGAGCTGCTTCCTCTCGTGGCCGCTTCGCCTCTCAAGCGAAATCAGTTCCGCCCATGTTTAGAGCCACCCCTAGAAGAAGCTCACTGCCTTCACCCCTCCGGTTAGTCCGATTTGATCTCTTTCCATTGAGCAATTAACTTTTCTAATGTTATTTATTTTGATTTGATGGTAGAAATCCTGTGGAAATGAGTTTCTGTATGGAGTCGATGTTACCCTACCACACCGCCACTGCTTCTGCGCTTATGACTTCAATGCTTTCTACCTCTGCAAATACCTACGCCTGGCTCTCTTACGGTAACTTGCCTGAATCCCCCTTCCTAATTCAGAAAAGACATTCTTTGTTTTTACCTATCATCTGTTTCTGTAGAATTGTTTCCGCATTGGTTTAGTACAATCCATACTGTTTAGATCTTTGTATTGGTTAGATTTTCAATTTAATAAGATTCCAACGGTCTGGAAATGGATCATTTGTTGGTGTATTTCTGCTTAGCATTGTAAAGAGATGTTACCTCATCAATTGGTCTAGCTTGTAGGATGAATATATGAAGCCAAAGATGTGGTTTTCCTTCAAATGAAAATTTATGAATTTAGTTATATAATTTAAAATGGTTTTCAATCAATGTTGGATGCTGCATTTTGTGTTCTTACATATCTTCTTGAACCAAAAATGTGTAACCAATAAACTGTAACGGAGAGTGTATTCTTTTCTTGTTGGTTATTGCATTTGAGTTGATTGTAGTGAAAGAATCAATTACTGATTAGTCTTACACTCCCAGCTTGCAATGATGATGTGTGATGATGACTTAGCATGGAGATCACTGAAGCTACATTTTATGTACAAAACCTCTTTACCTTGTAAACCCACCCAGAAAACTTAGGACCTCTTGATTGTGTTTTTTTTAGCCTCTTGTGTTTTTTTTTATTAGATGAGTAACTGATGTCTGGTGTAATTTATCAGCTTGCAAAGAGGACTTTTGATGATGTCTACAAGTACCCAACGCAGAGAAGGTTTTAAGAGAGTTTAGGCACCGAAAAACAATTAGTTGTTGTATTTCCCAAACACAAATGATCTCCTTTCCTTGTCTTTAGTTTTTTATATAGAAGACAGATCCTCTCCATTTTAAAAAACAACTCTTTATCAACTCTGTTACATTAACATTGCATCTCTGTTATTAAAAGTGTCTTTGTCTTCAGTTCGTATACAAACGATCTGTCTTCAGTTGTTTACACTCCATCTTAATAGTCTCTATGATTGTACATCAAAGCAAACTCAAAATTTACAGCGTGGGGTCTGTCCTAATTTCTCATATGAAAAACAGATATTCTCCATCTTTTATAACCAGTCTCAAAATTGCATCTTTGTTTAAAGTATCTCCATGTCTTAATTTTCATATGAAAACCATATATCCCCCCCTATCACACCAACTAGAGATTTAAAACTGCATCTCTGTTAAATGGGGTTTTGACATAGTACAAAGTTTCAAAACACTAGAGTTTCTTTGATCCTTCGGTTTCTGCAACCACCATAGCTAACGCTTGCTGCTCTTCTTGTGGCTGCGTCTGTTCTTCCTGTGGAGGTGTTTCTTCTTCTTGCTTCTCATCTTCAACAGGCTCAACTTCCTCGGGATTGAGCTGTACTAGATTCTGTCTCCTATACCGAAATATCACTAGGATGATAAACACTGCAAAACATGAAAGATTTACAGGTTATAGTTTTGTTATCAAGCAAAACATCAGTACTCTGTGAAGCATTGTTTCGGTTAAATTACCTGCAAAAATCCGGGTTCTAATGCTTGTCAAGTTCCAGAAGGCTGTCAATGCAGAGCCTGCCAAGATCTTCTTGTGCGAGCACACTTGCCATGCTTCAGCTATTCTCGTTTTCACTCTTTCAACTGCCCAAATCAAATTAAAACCAAGTCAAGATTTTAAGAAACGACAGACCTCTGCAAACAGTGACTTGTGTGACCTATATAGATGATACATAAAGTCCATGTGTTTCACCTTTTTGGCTAATCTGATGGGTGTAACACGAATACAGCTTTGGAACGGTGAAGCTGAGGAAGAAACCTGTTACAGTAACATAGACACATGTCGGTTTGAATTCCACAATGTTTTCAGTTTGTGTTCCAGATGCCATACCAAATGCGGATAGTCTCCAGAGTGTTAAGAGGTGGCCATACTCAGCTCCAATTAGCAGAAATGGGGTCACCTGAAGCAAAAGAGAAGAGCAGATGAAACCCCATTTTTGCTAGAGAAAGAGAGAAGTTTGTCAGATAAATTACTTTGAGAGTCATGGATGGTTCCCCTGAGAAAAGCTCAGTGGTCTTAGAAATGAGAAAGTTGGTAGCGGGAAGGAATCGTCTGGTTAAGCGCAAGACATCATCTTCACTCACATGGAACTCTCTCTTCGTGCCTTCGTTTTTCCTAAGATGATGAATGGATGAAACTAACTGGTAGATTAATAGAGTAACTGGAAACAAGAAACAGTGAAAATACCTTTGAGAGAGAGTGTTTGACAAGAAGGAGCCGCAAAGCAACACAAGTCCGAGGTTGGAAACCGCCGAGAAAAGGCTTCAAAACAGACAATAGATTTTTTTGATGATGAGTATTATCAGAATTTTGATAAAGAGGGTAGAAAGAGTACCTAAAGTTGAGTCCTTTGGCGAAGCAAGAAGAAAGGAAAGAAAGACATCCAAGACCGAACCAGAGGGTCGATTTGGCAACATCCCTCCACATAACCAAATCACTGATAATCTCTCCAATCCGATTGAGATCGCTTTGACAAGAAGCATCATCATCTTCACAAGACAAAACAGAGCAAATCAGAAACAAGCAGAGCAGATAATAAGAAAGAAAGAAAGAGAGTGAGTGTTGTTACTTGGAAGATGTGAAGACGAGCAAGGAGGAATAGGAGCGGAGGTTTGCTTATCCTTCTTAGGGCGAGCGTTGGGCTTCCGTTTCCTGGGTTTTACGGGCTCTTCGATCACTACATTAGCTTCTTTCTCCGCCACAGCCTCCGACCTACGCCTCGATCTGCGGGGATTCCTGGGAGAAGCCAAATTACCCTTTTGCCCTCCTTTCGCCTTGTTTCCCTTCTTGGGAACCGCCGCCGCCGCATGATCCTCAGAGGCCATTTGGAGTCGTTCGGCTAAACGGGTCTTGGACTTGCGGAGAGGGGAAGGAGAAGAAAGGATGATATCGCGAAGTGGAGCAGGAGAAGAAGAGGCTCCGTGGGGTGGTGATGGGTAAGGAGTAGTATCGTTGCTCTTAGGAGACAGACACACCAAATCAAGACAGAGATTGGGTGGAGCTTCTTCTTCTTCTTCTTGTTTCGAATCGTTGACACGAGCGAGACGCGAGGCTGATTTTGTGTTGGATAGGCGATAAGGAGGAGGCGTCGATTCCATCTTTACAGTTGAGGAATCAAATCTTTGGTAATAAATGCGAGAATCTGAGAGAGAGCTTTGATGGATGATATAAAAGTTCCAAGGAAGAAGACAGACAGGGGGAGATCAGATAGCCGTTGGACTAAATATTTATTTTTATTTTTAAAAAAGATTCCTTTGATTTGAATCTTGAACTTGGGCTCTCCTCCGTCTATTCTAACGGCGTAATGACAAAATTATTGATACATTACAGAGAGCCATACTACAGATATAGTACGGACATACATTAAAAATAAAAGTTTTTATTACAAAAGCCCACAATGTCTTTCCTTTTTAAACAATGTATATTTTTGCTTGAGGAGAAGAATGAGAGCTAGAATCTTATTATATTCTCATGCCTGCTTCTTGGTGTGTCTCTGTGCAAACTTGCTTAGCCTAGAAAGCCCATCTTTTAGGAGCTCTGGTTCCACGGCAAAGGTGATGCGTACCCAATTCTTAAGCCCAACTGATCGACCTGGTAGTATGATCAACGATTCCTCTTTAGCCAACTTGCAGCAGAATTCCAAATCATCCTTTATATCTTCCAGAACCGATAACTCTAACTTCGCCTGCACCCAACAACACAAAACCCCTATATTAGTATTTAGTAAGCATGCACCGAGTCTTTGATGAACGACAATGTGGGATCATTCATTACCATAGTGAACATTGACCCCTCTGGTTTGTAAGGACAAGTGATGCATGAGATCTTCTTTATCTCCTCGTAACAAGTCTCTGAACATTCTCTTAGTGTTTCCAGTATCGATGAGAAGAACTCTTCTTTTGTCTTCCCAAGGATATCAGGTATAGCCCCCTGCCATGGAAGATAATACAATATTCACTAAAAAGTCCAAGTAGATTCAATAGCATCATCAGCATACCTGAATAAAAGTTGTGGGATCTGTCGACATGTTGAGGACGTTGGCAAGACTGTGAACAAGCTAATAGAAAAATAAAAATAAAAACAAAAATGAGTACTTGAGAAAGAATGATTTAACTGAATAAATTGTATACAGAAACAAACCCCAGAATCTTTCATAATGTTATGAGGGTCAAGGGTGACCATCCAGCCAAATCTCCAGCCTGGAACAGACCATCTCTTTGATATTGAACCTAACAACATCACTGGCACAGTCTCTGCAAACTCAGCCATTGACACAAATGGTGTCTCCCCAAATATTATATTCTTGTACACTTCGTCTGCTATCACAAGTATTCCAAGTTTGCTAGCAGTTTCTGCAATCTAACAAATTCCATTTCAGAGTAAATATACATTTCTTTGCGCTAACTATTCTCATCAAGAAAACATGTTGTCTTTCAAACCTTTTGAAGATGTTGACGGGAGAAAACGTTCCCGCATGGATTGCAAGGGTTGATAACAAGTATAGCAGCGGTTTTGTCATCTGCAAGGGCTTCAACAGCATCGAGATCAACTTCCCAACCTTTTTCTGGAAGGAGGTCATAGCGACGGATCTCCAGCTGGCTGAAAGCTGCTCGGGAATCGTACATGGGGTAACTTGGCCTAGGCAGCAGAATGTTGGCCCCGGGAACCGCAAGTGTGGACATCAAGACATCGATGGCGTGATGACAACCAGCTGTCAGATGAACATCATCTGGACAGATCTGGTAAGAGATACCCCTGGAGAGGTACTCTGCAACAGCCCTGTTAAGAAAGAAACAAAAGTCTAATCAAAATCCCTATCTCAAAGTTTCAGATCTTACAATACGCTCGTAAATCTAAACTCCTAACCACACATGATCTAATGATGATAAGATCTCATTAATAGTATTTGTTGCCTTTGAAGACAAGTAAAAAGTAAATGCCCTGAAGAAAAGACATTAATCTTGATTCTTGATTACCATAGTTGAAACATACAGTATCTGGAAATATATTATATACTAAAGTTGAAACATAACCTCATATCTGGAAATATATTATATACTAAAGTTGAAACATAACCTCCACAGCTTATGTGGTGGTATATTATGACAGGAGGAAGAGTGAAAATTGAAGGGAATAATCTTACTTCCTAGCAATAGGAAGACCAGAAGTAGTAGAATAATGGTTAAACTTTGCGGAACGGAGGGCATCGCAGACAGCTTCCACTGCAGCTGGATCGGTACGGAAGGAGGGGAAGGGAGAAGGATCTCCGTGTCCGAGAGGAATGACAGGTCTGGTATCATTGCGGTCGAGGTTATCAGCGAGGAGGTTCAGAAAATAGCGGACGTTCTGGGAACAAGATAGCTCTACCACCTCGTTGGCCCCAAAGTTCCATCTCTTGGCTTCTCCTGTTTCTCCCATTTCTTGGCTTAGCTTTTGAGTGGAGTGGGCTATTGAGTGGCGTAGGGGGTTTCAACTTTTAAAACACTCACGAAAGATATCTTTGGACAATCAACTTACATTCCATCTCTCTAAACTTTCCCAACTACATTACGGTCAGGTTTTTATAATTGATAAAAACGTGCCATCTATCTACAGCTCTTCTATAAATTCAACTTTTATAGTGAAATGATATAATATTTAACAAACAAAAATATCTCCAAACAATTTTCACTGTTAAATAAAATAAAAATTTTACTATATAAAAGTGGGTAATTACATTATATAACTATTACAAATTATAATTATAAACATAAAACCGATATTAAAAACATGAGTATAATTTGATATATATTTTATGTAATATTATTCTATCTGAACCCTAATCAATCAGAATCTTTGATCTAACTGTATTTTTTTTTTCATTTTCCTATGTTTTTGAGAAAACATTTTTTCATTTTTTTTTCATTTTCTATTTTCTATTGTTTTGCTTTTCTTCTTTTCTTTCTTATTTCATGTTATCTATATTTTGACCAATATGATTATCACTACAAGAAAACGTTGTCATAGCGACTAGGGATTACGACTACAGATGTGCAGTCGTAATTTTACATCGCATTTACGACTACATTACGTCTAAAAAAGCATTAGTCGTAACTCAGAGGTTAACTTGCTACCAATAAAAATAGACGTACATTAGTCGTAACATAACGACCAATATACGACTACATGTCCGTGTAAACGTACTCTGGTCGTTAAGTTACGACTAGTGTACGACTACAAGTGTTTAGGATTTCGGTCAAGGCTTTAATGGTAGGTTGATGCTAATTGGTCGTAATGTACGACTAAATGATGGTACGAGATGCTAATTAGTCGTAAAAATTCGAAGCTAAGTAGTCGTACTGTCCCCTATAAAAGAACCATCGTTTTCTCCCAAAAGACAAACAAAAATTTTAAAATATTTTAGATATAGTGTTGAAAGATTTGAAAAAGAAGAGAGAAAGGTACTCTGATCAAAACTCCGAAGAGATCAATGCGAGACGAACGTTGAAACGTTGGTTTCGCATAGAATCCACGGAATTATGATTCTAGTATCTTTCTTCTCTTCTTTTCCAAATATTTCTAAACTAATATTTGAAATATATTAATAAAGAGAGTTGATAATTGAGTCGAAGAGTTTAAAAATGTAAGAAAAAGAGAGAAAAAAGACACTGGGATCACAACTCCAAAAAGATTAATGCGGGACTAACATTGAAACGTTGGTTTCGCTTAGAATCTATGGACTTGTGATTCCAGTGTCTTTCTTCTCTCTTTTTTTTTAAAATATATTACAAATGTAGTCCCTAATTGGTCGTAAAGGCCATTTGTCACTCATTGGTTGTAAATTTACGACTAATATACATCTAATATATTTTACCACTAATTAACTACTATTTGGTTGTAAATTGGTCGTAAAATTGCCACTCATTGGTTGTAAATTTATGACTAATATACATCTAATATATTTTACCATTAATGAACTACTATTTGGTTGTAAATTGGTCGTAAAAGTGCTACCAGATTACGACTAATTCTTTTGCATCCATTTTGCATCTGTTTAACTACTAAGTTAACTACCTACCAAAATCGAAATTTCTCTATAAATATGATCTTCTTCCTCATTCTTAAAACGGGAAAAAAAAACAGAAAACTTTTTTAAAAAATGTCTAGAAATATTTATGAGATCCGGAGTTGGATGTATGCACATAAAGATTCAAGAGGAATAGTAACTGATGAATTTCTCAACGGAGCAGAGATGTTCATGAACCAGGCCGGACAAACGTCTCTCACACAGGAAACGGGTAAAATGTCTTGTCCTTGTCGTAAATGCAACAATACGAAGTTTGCTGCTAGTGAAACGGTTTGGAAACATATAGTAAATAGAGGATTTACTCCACATTACTATATCTGGTATAACCACAGAGAAGGTGATAATAAGAATGAAGCTAGTAGTGGTAATCAGGTTGAAATAGTTCATAACAGAGAGGAACCACATTTGCTTTCTGAAAGTTACCTTCAAGAGGATCATCATATGGTAGATCATGATAGGATGCATGATATGGTCACAGATGCATTTCGTGAAACAACATCTATTATAGAGGAGATAGAAAATGTAGAGGGGCCTAACTTGGATGCAAAAAGGTTTTACGAAAGGCTAGCAGCAGCTAATGAGCCAATTTATGAAGGTTGTAGAGAAGGTCTTTCTAAATTATCATTGGCTGCTAGGATGATGAATATCAAAACTGATCATAACTTACCTGAAGTTTGTATGGATGCATGGGCTGAGTTGTTTAAAGAGTATTTGCCTGAAGATAATTTGTCTGCTGAATCTTATTATGAGATTCAGAAACTTNCAAGAAGCCGCGATATAAACCGCAAGGACGTGGACGGAATAGGGTTCCGTACCAGCGGATGTGGTACTTATCCATTAAGGATAGACTGAAGAGATTATATCAATCTGAGAAGACGGCATCATCAATGAGATGGCATGCGGAACATACCCAGAAAGAAGGCGAGATCAATCATCCCTCTGATGCAAAAGCGTGGAAACACATGAATTCGGTGTACCCTGATTTTGCAAGTAACCCCTGGAACGTTTATCTTGGACTCTGTACAGATGGCT